GCAGAGTAAGGAAAAACATATCCATGGACTTAATTAATGATTTTGAAAACTTTTATTATACAACTAAACCTTATAAACATCTAGAGCATATAGATACAAATATAGAGAAAATTCCTAGAACATATAGTCAAAATGTTAAATTATATATCTGATAAAGACCAACAATTAGACAAAATGCAAAATAATCTAAATATTTTAAATGAACAATTTTTTTTCACCTTAAAACAAATTCGTAAAAAATTAGAAGCATTTCAAGATTTTGACAAAACACTAAGAATGGTAAATAACCAATTAGAAAGAAAACAACATAAAATAACAGATAAATCAAACAAAGAATCAACAGCTTTATATTGGTCAAATATATTAAAAATAGATGAAAGAAAAAAATATAACTCTAAGAAAATTAAATGAAGAATATGTAGAATCTAATTATTAAAAGCACTTGTAGATTTTATAAAAATAAATGTTATTATTGAAGCAGAAAATAAGTTTGAAGAAATTAAAGATAAAAAATAGAGGAATTAAAGTATAAATATGTGGAATCAACAGAGGATAAATACATAAATGAAATTTTATCTCTAAAAAGAAAATATAGAAAGTTATTTAAAAATATAATTACATGATAGAAAATAGTGATTCAGACACAAATTCAAGTATTAGTCGCATACATCCAATCAGAATGATAACTAAAGAAGAATTGTATAATCAAGTAAAAATAAATTGGATAAAAAGAATAAAAATGATAAAAGCCAAAAAAGAATATGAGGCTATAGCACAAGTGTTATATCCAAAAATATTAGCGCCCTTTAATAAATTAAAAAAAATGAAAATGTTACAGAATTTAATTATAACGAGTACATGATAAATTTTCTTATAGTAGATATATTAGATGATTATACTATAGAAGAAAAGGACCAAAAAACTTTGTTAAACGTCATAGAAAAAATGTGTAATGTAATTATAGAAGAAATAAAATCTCCACAAGGAGGAACAAATCATCAATCTGGAGTGGGAGAAACTTCTCAATATAAATATATAAACTTTTTGAGGGAAGAAACGGTTGGGGGCGGTTATGGTGTACGTTAGCAGGCGATTTTTCTCTTGCTAACTTGCACCCACGCCGAGATTCAATGGTGAGGAAGAAGAAGAACAGCGGGGTTAAGATTCTTGGCATTGGCTTGAGATCTACGATCTCGAATTCTCCTTTGTTTGATGATCATTCTGTTAGTGGAGCTGTTGGATTTGATGATGATGATAGTTTGATCATGAGATCGACTGGTCCTAAGGGAGGCAAGAAAAGTAAATCAATGGCGGAAATTCTTTCAAATTCTTCAAAAGATACTGCTCAAGTAGCTTCTGTTGCTAATTTGAATGGAATTCAAGATCGACAGTCTGGATTTCAAGATCGACAATCTGGAATTCAAGATCGACAGGCTGGATTTCAAGATTGTCATCTTTCGGATCCTGTTTTGATTGGAATTCAAGATCGCCACCTTTGTAAGTCTCCTTTAGCTTGTAATCTTTCCTCTGGAAAAGTTTCTTGGGCTGAAGAAATTGAGTTGGAATCCACTGCTTCTTTGATTTCCATTTCAAAAGTCAAACCAGTTCCATTGAAGGACAATTTTGTATCTGTTTCTTTGAGTTTGAAAGAGGATAATAATGGCTTAAAAGAATATACCGGTGCTGAATTTCCTCCATTAGACAAAACTAAAAATGATCAAGAAAAGCTTAAGGATACTCAAGATCCTCAAAAGCCTGTCAGGAGCTGGTCTAGTCTTTTTTCGGATAATAGGAAACCTGGTAATGGCATGGTTCTGAATTTTGTGCATTCTGAGAGTAAAGATGAAGTTGTTTTTGATGAGGAAGAATGGAATGAGGGTGCCTCTTTGTGGAATTTCTCTCTAATTGGTCAGGTGATGGGATTAAACATTAAATTTAAAGCTATGGAGAATTATATTAGGAAAGTTTGGCCTCACTTTCCAGAAATTTGTCTCTTAAAGGCTGGTATCTTTCTATTCAAATTCAAAAATAATGAGGAGATGAATGATATCCTTAGCTTGGGTCCTTGGTTTATTGGTTCCAGACCTATCCTCTTGAAGCCGTGGTCTATTGGTGAGGATATTGGTAGAACTGATGAGTGTATATACCCCTTATGGATTCAACTACCAGCTTTGAAGTTGAATTTGTGGAACCAGAAAAGTATCAGCAAGATTGTCAGTGTAATAGGAAAACCCATCACTACTGACAAACTTACTGCCAACAGGCAGCGACTGGCCTATGCTAGAATCCTGGTTGAAGTTTCAATGCCCTCTCCTCTCCCTGATCAAATTACTATTCAGGGTCCAAATGGAAAGCATTATAAGCAAAAGGTGATCTATGAATACAAGCCAAGGTGGTGTGATTTGTGTAAAAATGTTGGTCATGACAAAACTTACTGTCGAAAGAATCCTAGAGTCCAAAAATGGGTACCTAAACACAATACTGCTCCTGGAAAGACCCTCTCCCTGGGCCAAGTGAATGATGCTACTAACCCTCCTGTTCTTGCTAAAGTTGGGGAAAATATAAATCAGATATCATTGCGTAATGTTTTACAGGCTAATACTGGGAACTCTACAGTGCAAGAGCCTGTGCACGTTGTGCATGTTTTAAAAGCTGATAACAGTTCTAAAGGCAAGTTACCTGTGCTAGCTGGGAATGTTTTGGAAGTTGATAGCAAATTTGAAACTGGAGGCTCTAGTCAGGAGTCTGTGCATGTTGTGCATGTTTCACAGTCAGATAACAGATTTGTAGCTGGGGAGAATGTGACTCATGTTGGGCAATTTTCCACTCATCAGCAACCTGGATTTGCACTTCCTAAGCATGATCTTCTATATATGCAAGGAGATGTCAATGGCAGTAAAGCTATACTTGCTAGTAGAGGTTCTATCTCTGAGCCTGTGCAAGTGCAGAATTTACTAAATACATCTGATAACTCATGGTCCATAATTCAAAAGAAGAAACCAAAGAGTTTTAGTCCTGGCAACCCTTTTGCTCATCTAGAGACTTTGATTACTGATACCTCTAATAGCAATAGAGGGGTTTTATTTCAATAATGAACTTTTCATTTTGGAATGTTAGGGGACTGAATAAGTCCTCTAGGCAACATTTGGTGAAACAATATGTATCTCAATATCACCTCTCTTATTTGGCTCTGCTGGAGACAAAGATTATAGCCAGTAAACTTCCAAAAGTTGTTCACAAAATGGCAAATGGCTGGAATTGGCTATCCAACTCTAGTCAAGACAGGAAAACAAGAATTCTGATCTTATGGAATCCCAATATCTTAGATGTGAATATGATTCACCTTTCTGATCAATTCATAACATGCTCAGTCAAAACTTTGGATGGGAGATTTGATGGTGTCATTTCTACTATCTATGGATCTAATCAAATGATTGCCAGGAAAGTCCTATGGGCTGATTTAAAGGATATATATCAGTTAGTTGGAAATTCACCTTGGCTTTTGTGTGGGGACTTTAATTCAGTTATCAGTAATGATGAAAAATTAGGAGGCTCTCTACTCTCTGACAATGATCTTAATGATTTCAGAGAGTTTATATTTCACTGCAAGCTTAACCATTTGAAAACTATAGGCAGTTTTTATACTTGGAGTAACAAACAAGACTCAACTTCAAGAATTTGGTGCAGGTTGGACAGAGCCTTGGTAAATGATACATGGAAGAATAATTTCAACTCCAGTCAAGTTGAATTCCTTAACCCCAACTTTTCAGATCATTCTCCAGCTCTAGTTTCAGTTTATGAGGATTGTGTGCATGGTAAAAGGCCTTTTAAATTCTTTGATATATGGACTAAACATGAAAATTTTCTCCCTGCTGTTGCTAGCATTTGGCAGTCTGAAGTTGCTGGTTACAAAATGTTCTCTGTATGCACTAAACTGAAAAATTTGAGGGAAGTTCTCAAGGATTTAAACAAGAGACATTTCTGCAATATTAGCGAGCAAGTTTCAAGAGCAAAACAAGCCCTAGATGAAGCACAGGAAGCTCTGCAGTCTAATCCTCTCAGCCAATCATTCATCACTAAAGAGAAAGACTGCCTAACAGTTTACAATAGATTGGTTGATTGTGAAATGTCCTTCCTCCAACAGAAAGCCAGGATTAATTGGAGCATAAAAGGAGACAAATGTACCAGGTTTTTCCATTCAATGATTAAACTGAAAAGGAATCAAAATAAAATACTGGTTCTCTACAATAACCTGGGACAAAGGTTAACTGATGGTGATGATATAGTGAATGAATTTGTATCTTATTTCAAGAATCTCATGGGAAAGGAGGTTAGTACTTTAAAACCTGATATGCAAATAATCAAATCAGGTCCCTGTTTGACTGTCTCTCAAGCCAGTATTCTTTCAAAATCTATCACCAAAGAGGAAATTAGAGATGCAGTCTTCTCCATGCCTGAAAACAAATCTCCTGGACCGGATGGATATGGTGTATCATTCTTCAAATCAGCTTGGTCAATTGTGGGAGATGAAGTCACTCTTGCCATTGAGGAATTTTTCAAAATGAGGAATTTTTCAAACCTGGCAAGTTATTGGGTATGGTTAACACAACTTCTATAACACTTATTCCTAAAGTATCATGCCCTAAAAATCCATCTGATTTCAGACCTATTTCCTGTTGTAACTGTCTGTACAAGTTCATATCTAAGATCTTAGCAAACAGGTTAAAAACAGTTATGGGATCCTTGGTTAATGAAGCCCAAAATGCTTTTGTCAAAGGTAGACAAATAACATGTAATATCTTGTTAGCACATGAGTTAGCTAAGGACTACAACAAGAAGCATATTTCCTCAAGAGTTATGTTAAATGTGGATATTAAGAAGGCATTTGACACTATCAGTTGGAAGTTTTTGAATGATATGTGGATATTAAGAAGGCATTTGACACTATCAGTTGGAAGTTTTTGAATGATATGCTCAAGGGCTTGGGCTTTCCTACAGTGATGATTAACTGGATCATGTCCTGTATATCTAGTCCTAAATATTCTATTTCTATCAATGGATCTATTCATGGCTATTTCAAGGGTGAACGTGGCCTTAGACAGGGTGATCCTCTCTCCCCCTATCTTTTTATTTTGGGAATGGAATATCTCTCGAGGGATTTAGATATGCTCAAGAATGATAAACTCTTCAAATTTCACCCCAGGTGTGGTAAATTCAAAATCACCCATCTGATCTTCGCTGATGATTTACTTCTCTTCAGTAGAGGAGATATATACTCAGTGGGAAAACTGCACCAGTGTATTAGAAATTTTAGCTATATCTCTGGTTTGGAGGCAAATGCAAGCAAATGCTCTATCTTTTTTGGTGGTGTTCAGTTATGTAGAGATTTCTTATGGGGAAAATCCAGCCAGTCCTCCAAAATGCCTCTAGTTGCTTGGAATAATGTTTGTATGGATAGAAAGAAGGGAGGTTTAGGGGTATACTCTGCTACATCTTGGAATTTGGCGGCAACTTTAAAAATCCTATGGCAAATTCATTCAAATAAGGAGTCTCTTTGGATCAAGTGGGTTCATGGGACTTACTTGAGACGAAATGACATATGGAATGTGACAGCTAAAAATAGTGACTCCTGGATGTGGAAACAAATGATCAAAGCAAGAGATAGAGCTGCTCTCTCTTGTGGTGGGATTAACAATCTGTTACAGTTGCTAAATGTTTGCGGCAGGAATACAAAGTTTCATATCTCAGCTTTATACCATGATTTGTTACCTGTTACTCAGCAAGTGCCATGGCATTATACTGTTTGGGATCAATTGAGCTATCCTAAACATTCTTTTATAAGTTGGCTTGCTGTCTTGAACAAATTACTTACTAAGGACAGATTGATGAAGAGAGGGCTAATAATTGATGGTTCATGCTGCTTGTGCTCAGGAGCTGAATTGGAGAACAGAAATCATTTGTTCTTTTCCTGTAAATTCTCTTCTGAAGTCTGGAATGGCATAATGAGTTGGCTTCAGTTTACCTGGAGATCATGTGAGTGGGATCATATCTTGGAGTGGTTTTGTACAAAGTTAAGGGGAAAAGGTTTCAAACAGGGAATCAGAAGAATTGCATTTACGGCAGCAATCTACAATATATGGACAGAGAGAAATCTCAGAATCTTTCAACAGGAGATTAGAACTGTTACTCAATTGATTAAGAGAATAAAGATGGACATTCTATCTGCTGTTCTCAATTCACAAGTTCAGGAGAAATTCCGGCATTGGTTGCAATCTTTGTAACCTGTCAGTTCTTTGATTTTTTGAAGTTTTTGTATACAATGTATTCAGGTTTTTGATCTCTCAGTACTTGAGATCTTGATGTATATACATTTCTCCCATTGGTAAATGAATAAAATTTTTCATTGACCAAAAAAAAACTTCTCAATATAGAGAAGAAACCATGAACGAGAGGGAATCACAAACACCTACTGAAAATAATATAGAAAATTTAGAATCCTTAGAATTAGATGAATTTTATAGTAAAACAAATAGGCAAAAATATGTCAATGTTATGACATAAAAAATAAAGACACTATAACTCTAGAAGAAAATCTAACTCCTGGATCATGTTTTGTTACATATCTATTAAATTTATACCCAGAATTAAATAGAGATAAAAATTAAATATTTAACGGATTGATCCCAAAATGTAATTGTAAATAGCTCAAAATTCTCATGGAAACAATAAAAACCAAAAATTTATAAGTTCTTTATCAAGAGGACATATAGCACAATGGTGAAAAGGCTTTGAAGGAATACTAGGACATAAAAATATTATAGAGTAAATAAAATCATAAATAAATAATGCCAAAGCAATAGCTAAATTTAGAAAAATGTTATTAATCCATTATATACGAGTAATAGATGAGCATGATGAAAACAAAATTTCTGAACATATAGGAATGCTAGATAAAGTCATTTTTTGTAATATTGCAGAATAAGAAAAATACACAATTTTTTTGAAGAACACTATTATAACCTACCAAATGACATTCAAAGAAGATATCTAGAAACTTATTACCATACGTTTCCCTCACAAATAATTGAAAATTTATTATCAGCATATCCAAATTATTTAAATACAATAATGACTAAGAATAGGAATATTAAAGACAATTAACCTCATAGAGTAGCTAGCGTATGTTTACAAATGTATTAATGATTATTGCATTTAAAGACGAATACAAGACAAAGTAATGCGACAAACAAGTCGTGGAATTACAGAAATTTCTAAAAAAGTAATTCCTCAATATGAGTTTCCTCAGCGCAGCAAGCGTGATGGAAAACCTAGACGTCGCCAACAACGACCCACAAAAGCAACCTATAAGCGCAGGCAACCTAGCACACATTATCAAAAGCCAAAAATAACAAAAAAAAACTAAGATCATTTGTATATAGACGAACTAAACAAGAAGTAAGGAGATAGCAATGTACTTATTTTAAATGTGGACAAAAGGGACATTTTGCAAATGAATATTATAGTAATAAAAGGGTTAATATAATATTAGATTAGCTAAGTGAATGAGGTTTTATTAAGATCAGAAATAAATGAAAGTATAGATGTAACGGATTTATGATTTGCATTATCAAGTAAATCTGATGACTCAGATAACATGACTTATGGTACAAAAGAATTCACTAAATCAAATTCAAAAATTTCTGACAAAGAAGAAATATACCCTATTTTTGTGAATCAAGAGCCTTTAAGTGAAAACAACATACGTGAAGGTATAATAGATAATAACTTAGATGAAGCTCTAAGTACAAGTTAGTCTGTAACCTCTCAACAATTAGAAGAAATACAAAAAAATATAGAAATTATAAACCAAAAGATTTATATAGGATCAAAGTTGTAGAAAAAATAGTTAGAAGAATGCTACCAAATAATAGATATATATTTGAGATAACAAAAAGATATAAAAAGGCTCTAGGTTATAAAGAAGTTTGAAGGATTAATAGCCTCACTATCAGAACAACGTATAAAACATCTTAGAGAAAAATATAAAGATATAACTACTTACATTCTGGGGCAATTCAAATAATAATTAAAGAAATTTTAGACAAAAAAATAATATACCTGTAGTAGAAGTATTATTAGATAATATGACTGTATCAAGTACATTTCATTCGGCAATAGCAATGATCAGAGGAAACCTATACCCAAGATTTATGGCCTTTAGAATACAACCCAACTATAGTATCACACTACATGAAAAAAATATATTGCAATCCTTAATGGTATATGCTAAAATAAAAGAAATAGAGTTTCAACCAGATACTAATGCCCTATCTATACAATAGAGACATATAATGATGGTTTCTAGAAGATTACAAGTTCCGTACAAAAAAGATGAAGATCTGCTATTCAACATAGCACATGATCAAAATTATTTCAAAAATCCTAGCTAACAGAATACAATCTGTTATGGGGGTACTGATAAATGACTCTCAATGTGCTTTTGTAAAAGGGAGGCATATAGTAGATAACATTTTGTTAGCTCATGAGATGGTAAAGAACTATGGCAGGAAAAGCATTTCACCAAGAGCTATGATTAACATTGATATCAAAAAGGCTTTTGACACCATCAATTGGAAATTCATAGAGGATATGCTGGATGGTCTGGGTTTTCCAAAAGTGCTGACTAGCAGGGTTATGACTTGTATCAGTACTCCAAAATATTCTCTCATTAAATGGATCTTTACATGGATACTTCAAAGGAGAAAGGGGGCTGAGACAAGGAGATCCTCTCTCCCCCTACCTGTTTATCTTAGCTATGGAATACCTCTCAAGAAGCTTAGATCTGTTGAAGCTAGACAGGGACTTCAAATACCATCCAAAGTGTGGGAGGCTCAAAATATCACATCTAATCTTTGCTGATGATCTTTTATTATTTAGCAAAGGTGATTTGATCTCAATTCAGAAGCTATATCAGTGTGTCACAAAGTTCAGTGAAGTATCTGGATTAGAAGCAAATCCTAGCAAATGTGCTATATTTTATGGGGGTGTAGATGATGAAGCCAAAGAATCTATTCAATCTTATCTGGGGTTCACTGAAGGGAAAATGCCTATCAAATATCTAGGAGTTCCCCTAGTGTGCAAGAGATTGACATTTCTGGACTGCTCCTCTCTATTCTCAAAAATTTCCAGCCAGTTTCAGAATTATTTGAAGCACAAAAACTTGTCTTATGCAGGCAGGTTACAGATCATTAAAAGTGTCATTCTTGGCATACAAATATATTAGACATCCAGTTATGTTCTTCCAATCAAGGTGCTCCAAAAGGTGGATTATCTATGCAGGAATTTTCTTTGGGGGAAAAATCCTTTGGTATCCTGGGAAAGAACCTGCACAGATAAAAAGTATGGTGGTCTGGGGATTTTTTCCTCAATCATAGAGAACAAGGCTGCAGCTTTAAAGACTCTATGGGACATACACACTAACAAAGAGCTTCTATGGGTTAAATGGGTCCATGGTACATATCTCAGGAACATGAATGTATGGCAAGTGGAAATCAAAAACAATAATTCCTGGTTATGGAAGCAGCTGCTGAAAATCAGAAACCAAGCTTTGGATTATTGTGGAGGAGTGGATAACCTAATTAGCCTAATTAACTCCTGTTGCAAGAGCTCAAAAATCATCCTGTCAGATTTATACCATGCTCTTATTCCTATTACAAACAGAGTGCCAGTACCATGGAGTATCACAATTTGGGGAAAGCTAAACTACCCTAAGCACTCTTTTATTTCTTGGTTAGCAGTTCAAGATAGACTACTAACTCAAGATAAACTGCTGAAAAGGGGGATCATTCAAATCAACAAGTGTGTGCTATGTGCAGGGTCAGGAACTGAAACTCGTAAGCACATGTTCTTTGAATGCAAATTTTCGACTGATATATGGAATGCAGTTATGAACTGGTTGCAATTCCATTGGAAAAGCTGTGACTAGAACCTTTTGATAGGTTGGTATGAAACTAACCAAAGGAGGAAAGAATTCAAGATCAATGTTAAAAGGATGGCTCTCACCTCCTTAATTTACAACATATGGCTGGAACGTAATGGGAGGATTTTTAAGCAGTCTTACAGGAGTGTGGAGCAAATCATCAAATGCATCAAAATGGACTTAATGTCAGTTATCCTTAACAGTGAGATGCCATGGAATTACAAAAACTGGTTGATCTCTTTATAAGCATAGCAGGATGCAATCTGATGTCGGAGGATGCACTGCCTGGTAGTGTCAGTTGTTCTGAAACAGCAGCAAGAAGCCCAGGAGATGCATAAACCTGTTGTTGTGCTTTTTGAGCATATCTGGTGCATAAATTTTCTTCTTTTGAACTCTAGATACAAATCATTGTCATCTCACAAATTGTGATGAGATTCTTGATGTATATATTCTTTCATATTGGTTGATGAATAAAATTTTTCATTTACCAAAAAAACACAGCACATGATCCAAATCTAGTCTTAATAAATTATAAATCCATCCCTAGAAATCCCCTAACTTTACCTAAATTAGAAAAACTAATTCTAAATGCATGAAACCTAAATATATGAATAAATAGAGAAAATAAAAAAGAAACAATGCAAGTAATGAAAATAGAAGGAAATTAACGATATAGTATTAGCTCCATACAAAGTAAAAGCTTTAGAGAATATAATAATCCTTATGAAGTAATTAATTTAAGAAGACCCAATTTTCAATTACCTAAAGAATATGAAAAACCCTTAATAAAGGAAAAAGACACTAAATTCGAAGATCTAAAAAGCAAAAGTAATTTACCTCTACATTATATGAATAAAGCATCAGAAAGCACTCTATTTGAAGAAGAAGAAGAAGAAGAAGAAGAAGAAGAAGAAGAAAGAAAAAGAAAAATAGAAGAATATTTAGAAAATCTATCTCTTAAGTTTAATAGACCTTATTTTTATAATACAGATAATGGATTTTATACATGGATAATAATACAATTAACACCTAAATATTTTATAAATGTTTATGGAATAATAGACACTAGATCAAGCTCAAATCTACTAGTTATAAATGAATATATTGAAGAATATATAATACAAGAAAAATTAATTACTATAGCTTCATTTAATAATACCCAAAAAATTATAAAACAATCATTACAATCTTTATGGTTGAAACAACCAAATAATACATAGTTTAGCATTAAAAATACAAGCAAAATATATATAGAAAAAAGTAAAACAAAAGAAACAACATATTTACTGATAGGAACAACCT